AAAAAACAAACAAACAAAAAGCAAAACCGAAATCAGTGGTGTAGGAAAAAGGAAGTCCCTTTAGATGTGGCTATTCAAAATGACTAATTTTGCATTCTGGTCTTTGCTTTTGTAAATGAAGTGTTTTTTTTTTCTCCTCCTTTTAATGCATAGACACTGCAGTTTCCTTTAGTCAAATACAAGTTATTGTGTGTGTGAGTGTGCATGCATGTGTGTGCACGGGTTCCTTTTGAAAGGATGGTTTGCTGATCTGTGAAAAAGATGGTTTTCTTAAATTGTTGTGCTTGAATCCTGCGCCAAAGCTGGTGGTGCTATTGCTAAAGTTGGGTGATTATGGTGCCCACTTGTAATACTTGGAAAGATAAAACAGCTTAACTTTTTTTCCCTCTCTCTTCTGCTCCAGCATTGATTATCTTAAAGCTCAGAAGCAAATAAAACTAGTTTGCATTTTCCTCGTCTCTCAGCAGCATTCCTGCCTGAAGTATTCAGCTCCTCTAGGCTGTTACAAGCAAAATAATTGTTCCCTTGAATGCAGCCTTCCTCTGTGATCAATACACCTTTGAATGTTTTCATCGCTGCAGAAATCCTTCAAGTGGGTTTTTTTGGCTCAGCTCTGCATAATTGTTTCCCTCACCACTGTAGATTTCAGTTTAGCATTTTCTCTATTACTCAAAATATGGGATCGGTTTCAAGAAGTTTAGAATTTCACATGCTTCATGAGAGAGAGGGAAACAGAATTCTAGTTACTAGAAAAGATCAAGGTTGCTATTTGTTCCTTTGAAGTTAACTGTCTACCCATCTCCGAGGGCTGCATGGGGCTTTTTGTTGAGATATATTTCCAGTCACCCCAAGCATCCAGTTGGACAGCCTGTGTATGTTTCAGGCAGAGTGTGTTTCTGAGTTGAGAACATTTTCTCCTTAAGTCGGAATAGAACACATTAGTGCTGAAATCACCTTCAATAAATCACCATTGTATTATTGCATATAAGTGATATGTTTAAATTTAGCAGGCTGCTTTCTCTTGATGAAAACCATTTGTGACAACATGTCAGTTGTTTCTTTGGTGATTTGTATCACAGGCTTTCTTTACAGATGCTGTGTAAATGAAATTGTTAACCCGGTTCAATATCTGTTGGCTAAATGTGTTAATATTCTCATTTAAACCCAACTACCTTTCTTCTCTGTGCTGGGACAAGTTAAGTCTGAGGTCTTCAAGCTCCTATAATTTAAATTGGAGCTAGAATCTTTTCCTTTCTATCTAGCTCTCATTGTAAAAACTCTCCTCCTAATAAACGTGGAACTCTCCTAAAATCTTCTCTTTATACTAGGGTTCGAGACATGAGGCTGCCCTTTTGGGCTTGTCTTTTGCCTCATCACAGTCCCAGACCACAGAACACAGACAGGACATTCTCTCTTCCCCAGCCTCCTTCCTGTCCTGGCTTTGAGTCTTCCAAATGGAAAATTCCAGCCATATCAGTTGGTGATGCACCCATTTCTTCCTGTGGGACCAGCCACAGTCTGATGGAATTGCTTCTGGAGTAAATGCCCAGTTTCATACTACTTCAGTGTCAGCCTGAATGTTTGGAAAGTTCTAGCACCTCAAACCATTTGCACCTATGAAAGCAGAACTCTATTTTTTTTCCTTTGGTTCAGTTTGTGAGTTCTCTGTAGGAGGAAGATCTGATACGGCCGGCTCTCTTTCAACTCCAGTTCCAGCAGAGAGAGGGAGAATGTTCTGGGTGACAGACCCTCCCAGCAAAGGGGCTTGCTTTATTTGCTTCTCTCCCCAACCCTCCACTCTTAGCCTTTGTCTTTTGAATAATCCTTCCACATTCCACTTTTGTGGTGGGGGATAATTAGTCACAACTCAGTAGTAAGCTGTGCCCGCTGTAGAGAGGAAGCATTCAGCGGGTTGGAAGTGTGGAGACCTGGTTCTGATTCTTGGAATCAGTGCTCCCCGGTTCAGTGTTTTGAGCCCAGGTCTTTAGCTTCTAGCTGGGCATATTTTTCTGCTTTGTAATTTAACCTATATCTTTTTTTTTTTTTTTCATGTTCCTGCCTCATCAGGGAATTGTAAGATTTAGGGGAAGGTGTGGGAAATCTTACTCTTTGCCCTAAAGTATTCAGAGATGAGAACTCTGGATACCCTGCAAAACACCTCCAGCCTGCCTGCCTTTGAACCTTGTGTTAACAATGAGAAGCTTGTTTATTTGAAGGCTGGGTTCTTATAGGCCCACAGGGGTAGGTTGTAATTGTGTGTCTAAAAAATTGCCTTTTGCATGACCCAATAGCATGACAACTGGAATAGTAATTTGACTTAAAGAAAAAAAAAAAGAACAACATAGGGTTTAAAAAAACCCCTTTAGGACTCTTCACACTTTGTTGAAATCAGGTGTGGGTTTCCTTCCCCCACCCCTGGATAAGGATGAGGGAATGTCCTTAAGGTGGGCGTGTTGCCAGAACTTCCAGATAGCTGCCCCCATGGGATAAGTTCTCAGCCCACCTAAACATGAACGTAATTTGCTCTGTTTCAGTTTGGCTGAAGAGGAAGTAAAAGCAGAACAGGAGGTGGTAGAGGGCATGGATATCTCTACTCGCTCCAAAGGTAAGTAAAAATCTTGTATTATTTATTCTAGAGCTAAGGAGGAAATTGGAATTTCTTTATGTTGTAGAACAATGGAGTGTGGCTCTCTGAGCCGATATTGTAACTCTCCTTGGGTTTTCAGATAGAAGATTTTTTGATGGATGAACCTAATTTATGGAGAACTCTCTCCTTTTGGTTTTCTTTCCCTGGTGTCTGTGTAGGTGTCCTGACTTGTCAGGAATTGTCCTGACTTGTCAGGAATTGTCCTGACTTGTCAGGAATTGTCCTGACAGTGAATTTTACCTGTGTGTCATGACGGAGAGCTGCTGGCTACCTCTCCACAGGGTGATTTTCAGGAGCCACAGTTTCAATAAAGCATGTTCTGGAAGCCACCAGAGCCTCTAGCTGCCGCTCGTTTTCTGATTTTAACAACAGGCCTCTTTGGAATCCCAGAAGTGGGATAAAGTCAGGCCGCTTCATTGGAAAATGGTGGTCTTGGGTTAGAGATAAAACGGAAATGTAGAGCTTGCTGGGATGCCGGGGCCAGTGTTTCCATTTAGTTCAAAATTTAGCAAATGAGGGCAAACACAATTTATGTGTGTATTCACAAGCCTGGAGTAGACTCCTGAATATCTTCTAATTGAGGGATTGGTACTTCTCATTTGGTCTGTGTGAAAGAGATTTTACGAGGCTTCCCAAAAGGAAGCAGTTACTTACTTTTGTCTTCAGGGTGCTTTTACAAATGAGCTACTGGAGTATTTTTCATATCTTTGGTTGATGAAAAGGCTCATCTCCAAACTTAATGGTTGTACCAAGGTGTTTTCATTCCTTCAACAAGTCACTGAGTGCTTGCGCTGGAAGTTATGGGGAGGAAGGAAGAGGCTGAGAGGGTTATGCAGACTACCGGAACGAGATTCCCATTTGGCTACAGAGTGTGGCACAAGGTGACTCCCTAAAGGTATCTGAATCAAAACGCAGTTTGAGGATTGTTATAAGACAGCATGTCACTGGTATGGTGGCTCATGCCTATAATCCCAGCACTTGGGGAGGCTGAGACAGGTGAATCACCTGAGGTGATTCAACCAGCCTGATCAACATGGAAAAGCCCATCTCTACCAAAAATACAAAATTAGCTGAGTATGGTGGCACATGCCTGTAATCCCAGCTACTTGTGAGGCTGAGGCAGGAGAACCACTTGAACCTGGGAGGTGGAGGTTGAGGTGAGCGGAGGTTGCAGTGAGCTGAGATCGCACCATTGCCCTCCAGCCTGGGCAACAAGAGTGAAACCCCATCTCAAAAAAAGAAAAAAAAAACGATAGCATGTCACTGGGCGTGGTGGCTCATGCCTGTAATCCCAGTACTTTGGGAGGCCGAGGCAGGCAGATCATGAGGTCAGGTGTTCGAGACCAGCCTGGCCAACGTGGTGAAACCCCATCTCTACTAAAAATACAAAAATTAGCTGGGTGTGGTGGCAGGCACCTGTAGTCCCAACAACTTGGCAGGCTGAGGCAGGAGAATCACTTGAACCCGGGGTGGAGGTGGAGATTGTAGCAAGCCGAGACTGTACCACTGCACTCCAGCCTAGGAGACAGAATGAGACTGTTCCCCCCCAAAAAAAATCACTGTTGATGGTGACCATGACCATCTGGCTATGGTAGAGCTTTCTTCTCTTTCCATCCTCTGCTCTTTGGAAGGAAGTCACAATGCGTCACCCACGCTTAAAGAGTCAGGAGTCATGCTCCACCTCCTCGAAAGCAGAGGCTTGACATAAATTATCTGGGGCCAGGTGCAGTGCCTCATACCTGTAATCCCAGCACTTTGGGAGACTGAGGTGGGTGGATCACTTGAGGCCAGGAGTTCGAGACTAGCCTGGCTAACATGGCAAAACCCCATCTCTACTAAAAACACAAAAATTGCACACCTATAATCCCAGCTACTTGGGAGACTAAAGTAGGGAAATCAGTTGAACCTGAGAGGTGGAGGTTGCAGTGAGCTGAGATTGCACCACTGTCCTCCAGTATGGGTGACAGTGAGACTGTCTGAAAAAAAAATTTAGAATTGTTCTGTATGGGGTACTGGTCTCTTCTCCCTCAAGTATTTATTCAGTCATTTATCTCTCTTAGTATGGACTCTGGGATGGTTACTTTATACTGTGGGTTGTAATCTAATACTACCTATTTGTTTTATTGCTCAAATCATTCCAGCTTTGGCAGTTGGGAGCTCTTTCCGTTGGCTCTTGTGTCCCCTTGACAGACTCCATCGTTGCAGGTTTGTTCATGTGTTTGTTTGAGACAGAGCTTCGTTTTGCTGCCAGGCTGGAGTGCAGTGGCGCAGTCACAGCTTATTGCAGGCTTGACCTGCTGGGCCCAAGCGGTCCTCTTGCCTCAGCCTCCCAAGTAGCTGGGACCACAGGCATGCATCGCCACAGTTGGTTAATTTTTGTTCTTTTTATTTATAGAGATGGAGTCTTGCTAGGCTGGTTGCCCAGGCTGGTTTTGAATTTCCCAGGCTCAAGTGATCCTGCCACTTTGGCCTCCCAAAGTGTTGGGGTTACAGGTGTGAACCACCACGTCTGGCCTGTTTATTTATTTATTGAGCACTTTCTTGCCTTCTGGCACTATGTGATGCTGAAGGCTCATCTTGTATGTGTTTGCCTCAGCCCTAGAATCATCCAGTTCTCTATGAATCCTGGTTTCTTTTTTTGGAGAATGGTATTAGAAACCAAGATATGGCACTAAGTGTGCTCATGTTTTTGTTTTTTTTTTTTAAAGACAGAGTCTCACTTTGTTCAGGCTGGAGTGCAGTGGCACGATCACTGCTCACTGCAACCTCCACCTCTCGGTTTTTTTTTTCTTTTTTTCACCTCCCGGTTTTAAGCAATTCTCCTGCCTCAGCCTCCTGAGTAGCTGGGACTACAGGCGCCCACTGCCATGCCTGGCTAATTTTTGTATTTTTAGTAGAGATGGGGTTTCACTATGTTGGCCAGGCTGGTCTGGAACTCATTACCTTGTGGTCCACCCGCCTCGGCCTCCCAAAGTGCTGGGATTACAGGCATGAGCCACCGTGTCCAGCCAAGTGTGCTCATTGCTACTGGAATATTTTTGCTTCTAGATTCTGTCTGCTCTGTCATCCAGGCTGGAGTGCAGTGGTGCATTGTCAGCTCACTGTAACCTCTGCCTACCAAGTTCAGGTGATTCTCCTGACCCAGCCTTCCAAGCATCTGGGACTGCAGGTATGCACCACCATGCCTGGCTAATTTTTGTATTTTTAGTAGAGATGACTTTTTGCCATGTTAGCCAGGATGGTCTGGAACTCCTGGCCTCAAGTGATCTGCCCACCTCGGCCTCCCAAAGTGCTGGGATTATAGGCGTGAGCCACTATGCTTGGCTCCCAAATACTTTAAATGAGATAATGCATACATAGTGAAAGGCATCTGGCTCATCAAAGCACCACACTTTTTTTTTTTTTTTTTTTGAGATGCAGTCTTGTTTTGTTGCCCAGGCTGGAGTGCAGTGGCAGAATCTTGGCTCACTGCAACCTCCACCTCCTGGGTTCAAATGATTCTCCTGTCTCAGCCTCTGAAGTAGCTGGGACTACAGGTGTGTGCTGCCATGCCTGGCTAATTTTTGTATTTTTAATAGAGACAGAGTTTTACCACGTTGGCCAGGCCGTTCACCAACTCCTGACGTTAAGTGATCTGCCTACCTCAGCCTCCCAAAGAGTTGGTAGTACAGGCGTGAGCCACCTTGCTTGTAGATTCTCTCACTGGACAATAAGGAAGCATATATACACACATCTGTAAACATTTTTACATGTATCCATCTGTGCCTCTATCAGCTAAACATGAGTTCATGCTTCCGTCTGACCCTTTCCCATTCCTGCATGGATCATTCTGGCCTTCTTCCCTAGTTTCTCTGTAACCTCCTACTCCGACAGTGAGAAGACTGGCTTCCACTGTTCACCATTCGTTTACTATTTTCTGGTACATTTTAACCTGATCTACAGTGTACAGTCTGATGAACTTTAACTCACGTTTGCACTTGTGGGACCATGACCCAGATCAAGATAATTAAACATTTCCAGCATCCAGAGTGTTCCTCTGTCACTCTGATTTTGTTCATAGCCTTTGTCCTCACTTTGTATATTCTTTTTTTTTTTTTTTTTTTTTTTTTTTTTTTTTTTTTTTTTTTTTTTTTTTTTTTTTTTTTTTTTTTTTTTT